ATTCAATACATTTATTTTTATTTTATTTTTATTTTATTACAATATATATTAAAAATTTATTTTTTTTAAGATATTATTCAATACATTTATTTTTATTTTATTTTTATTTAATTACAATATATATTAAATAAAAAACTAATTTAAGTCGTAATTAATTAAAAATAAATATAAAATTTTATTAATTAATTATAACCTATTGTAGTTGAATGGAAGGAACATTTTACAATCTGATATAATAACTTTTAGGGGCTATTTGGTTGAGTTAAACTTTCACCCTTAAACTTCTCTAAACTTTCTCCTTAATAGTATTTATTCCCTTCATTCATTTTTAGTTTACCTATTTTTTTTGTCTAACAAATAAAGATGTAATTATATATTGATAAATTTTCATATTTATCCCTAATTAAGTACCACTTAAATAAGATTTTTTATTTAATATATATTATAATTATTTTTTAAAAATAAGAGTAAAATAAGAATAAACACATTAAATAATATCTTTAAAAAATGGATAACTAAATTCAAACATTTCAAATAGGAAAATAGGCTCAGGAAAGTTGAATAGAAAAAATATATATTTTCACACATAAAAATATTACAACAAAAGTTAATAAAAGTGATATTTTTAATATTTATTTTTTTAACATAATTTTCTTCTTGGATATTTTAAGAGGAAAAAGTTTTCTTAATTTTTGTTATGTAAGACTCATCTGATAATTTTTCTATAACTTTTCATATATTAAATTGTTACTAAATATAAAAAAATAAGAATTTAAGAAAATTTTAACAAAACTTTTAATGCAAAATTTATTAACCTTTTATAAAATATTTTCTTAAACACTTTCTCGATATAAAATTTTCTAATAAATTTCACCTCAAACCTAACATACAGTGAGGGGAAAACCCTTTTTAAACCCCAAAAATTGCCCTATATTAGCATTGAAGCCCATTAACCAAAAACAATACAAATAAGCCCTTTATGACCAATAGCACTATCGGCCCAAACGACGGCTGGTTAACTCCGTTTGCTCCCTTCCTTTCCGTTTGTTCCAGATGTTGATATAGAGGAATCTTTGAGTCGCACCAAATACTAAAAACTCTATACTAAAAAAAAAATTTAAAGATAATTTTTTGTATAATTTTATATATTATTTAATAATTAAGTACTTTTAATCAATTAAAACCTCTTGTAATATATTTATTTATTTATTTAATAATATATTAAAATTGTATAAAAAGATTATACAAGAAACTTATCTTTATATCATTAAAAAAAATCAAAAGAAATCAAAAAGACACTTTTATCCAATCAGCACTTATATTGCCACATCAGCATGACCAAACAGAGTGAGTCCATGTTAAACGGCCGGTAGTCATGGGCTTGTTCGCACTAGTCAAGAAGTTAGAGGGCTTATTTGCATATTTTTGCCATACTTTAAAGACAAACCTCGTGTTCCAAATTCCAATAATTTGTCAAAGCAGAGCCGCCTATAATTTTTAATTAATTTATTTATTAGTCCCAGCCTTTTTATCCTACCCGTTTCTTCTGTTCTTCATAGAAGCACCAACCCCTTCACAAAACAACGCTTTTTCAATCCTACCCTCTTCGACCCACAGGAAACCCATAGAAAATTCTCCATCTTTGACATATTTTGAAGCAGTCTCAACCATTTCGTTGTTTTTCTGTAACTGGGTAAACCATAAATTCGTGACAATGAAGTGCATTTCGAGGCTGAGGTCGCACCGGGTGGTTCAAGAGCAGGACGGCTTGGATGAGATGGGCGAGGGTGGTTGCTGCTGGACGGACCTGCCGCCTGAGCTGTTGAGGGAGGTGTTGGTGAGGATTGAAGCGTCTGAGAGCAGTTGGCCTTCGAGAAGGAGCGTGGTGGCTTGTGCTGGTGTTTGCAGAAGCTGGCGGCAAATTATTAAAGAGATCGTCAAAGTGCCCGAGCTTTCCGGCAAGCTGACTTTCCCCATCTCTGTTAAGCAGGTATCGCATATGGGTTCACCTTGTTCTACTTCTTACTTCTCTCTGTGCATTCATGGCTGATTGGGAACTTCCTGTAAAAGAAATTCATTTTCTTTTTCCAGTATGCTTAGTTGAAGTGATAATCTTGGTTATACTTTTCTATTTGTGCCTATTTTATGTACTCCGTTCATAATAAATCCTAGAACTGCTAAAAATTCACCAAAATTGTTATTCTGTTGGGGTTCTGGGTAGGGGGAGAGGGGTGTCCCTGAATTGGGATTTGTTTCCTAAAGTTTCCCGTCTGATCCAATTTTTTAGTTTACTTTTGTGTTTGAGTTGTAGTGATTGAAGCTTGAGAGTACTAAAAATTATAAATTATTATCCGACTGGTCTCAGAAAATGAATCTCCAAATTCTACTTACCAACTCCCACCTATGTTGGAATTTTATCTCTCTGCACTGAACATGTAGTGTTGTGGAAACTTGCTTGGTCAAGATAGTTTCACCTTGGGTTGTGAGCAATTTTCTCCATTAGATTTGATTATTGGGCCTTATGATGAAGATTCTGCTACTTAGTGCTCAGGACCACCATGACAACTTCAAAATCATTGAAAACGTTCTTATGGTATCTTACTCAGCAAGGGGTAATTAAGGGCAAGGACCACTTTTTGGTTCACCATAGAGGGTCATTGTCATCACTAGCTTCCATCCAAAGAAAAGGGTCTGATATTTGTTTAGTTATTGTTCAAATGCTACGTCATTACCTTTTACATTGGGTTAAAAGTACTTGTGTAAAGTTTAACCAAGGTGTATGTTAGGATAGATAATTTATTATGAATGCAATCATTTTGTTATTCAAGCCTCCCTATCTGAATTTTGTCTTCTGCCTCTAGATTCTAATTATTGACATATAAATTTTAAACTTGAATTGGTTCACTTGCAGCCTGGTCCAAAGAATTGTCCTGTCTACTGCTTTATAAAGCGGAATCGACCTTCCCAAACATATTACCTGTACCTTAGTTTAACTAGTGGTGAGCTGTGAATTAAATTATTTACCTTCTTGTTCCCCTTTTGAGCAGCAAAGCTTTTAACATTTTTATTTTTGGTTTCTATGTGGCAGCACTCTCTGATGATGGAAAGTTTCTTCTTGTTGCAAGAAAGTGTAAGCGTCCCACCTGCACAGACTATATCATCTCTCTATGTGTTGATGATGTGTCGAAGGGCAGCAATTATGTTGGGAAATTAAGGTTTGTTAAGATGGAACGCTTGTTGTGGAATATTTTCTTTTAATGTAATCCTGTGACCTTGGCTCTTAATACTTTTCTTTGTTTCTGGCCAGATCAAATTTTTTAGGAACCAAGTTCACCATCTTTGATGGACAGCCTCCTCATGCTGGTGCAAAGATGACACGGAGTCGCTCCTCTAAGCTAGTCAGCTTAAAACAAGTTTCACCCAGGATCCCTTGTGGCAACTATCCAGTGGCTCAAATCTCATATGAATTGAATGTGTTGGGTACTAGGTAATTGTTTTGGTTGAGTTATTCAACTTCTAATATTTTTCCACAGTTTTGCAAAAAGGATTTAGACTTTGGAGTTTTAAGTCTTCCCTCAGTTTTATTTGGATTAGTTGTCTGTTATTATCAATTGAATTAAATAACTCAATGCACTTTAATGAACAAAGTTGTTGTTTCTAAAGTATTGTGTTTCATGTGATGACAATCAGGGGTCCTAGGAAAATGGAGTGTATTATGGATGCCATCCCTGCTACTGCTATTGAACCAGGAGGGGTTGCTCCCACTCAGACCGAGTTTTCTCATTCTAATGAGGATTTCTTTCCATCAATCCCATTTTTCCGTTCAAAAACAACTCGTGCAGACAATTTCATATCAGGACCTTTGAATGATAAAAAAGATGGGGCACTGGTGTTGAGAAACAAATCTCCAAGGTGGCACGATCAGCTTCAATGTTGGTGCTTGAATTTCCATGGACGAGTAACAGTTGCTTCAGTAAAAAATTTTCAGTTAGTAGCTTCTCCAGAAAGCAGACCAGCTAGCCCGGAACATGAGAAGATCATCCTCCAGTTTGGGAAAGTGGGGAAGGATTTATTCACCATGGATTACCGGTACCCAATCTCTGCATTCCAAGCATTTGCAATCTGCCTCAGCAGCTTTGACACCAAGATTGCTTGTGAATGAAACATGGTCTTGCCCAGGTTTGAATTAAATTATCTGAAGTTTAAACA